TACAATGCAAAATATAGACAAACTGTACATCGTTCACTATAGACATACTGCAAATTTCTTTTTAATTGTATTGTGCAGGTTTTCACGTGCAGCCAGACGGTCTGGTTACGGCAGTAGAAGGCGGCGGGTGCGCGGCGCGGGCGGGGGTGCGACGTGGCGCACGACTGCTGGAGGTGTGCCGCGCCGCTGTCGTAGCGCTGCATCATGACCAGCTCGTTGACCTGCTCAAGACTTCAGACCCTGTCACGGTTGGTAAACTATCATACTCCTTAAGCATTAAAGAAATATGAGATCGGCATTAAGTGTAAGATTCGCCATACCTTAGACATACGATAAGATCGCAGATGCTGTCTTACTTTACTGGTAATGTAAACCGGGCATAATACGGTGTTATCAGGTAACGGTGACGTTCGCGTCAAGCACACGGTGCGGGTGCGAGGTGGGGGCGGAGGAGTGGGCGGCGCCGGGGCGTGCGGACGCGCAGCAGCCGCGGCCGCGCAGGCACGACCGCGCTGACAGACACTCCCCGCCCCGCTCTGACAGCTCCGGATATGGCACAGGTATACTGACTTCTGTACACAAATTATTAATCTTCTGCATATCATTGTAGTGGTAAAGCCAGTCTGATCCAAGTCGGAGATTGAAATCTTACGGCAGTCATAGCAATGGCAATCTTCAATCTCAAATCTTCACGAATGTGTAATCCTTATATTCTCAAGTTGAAAAGTATAATAGTAATAAATAGAAACAATTCTACGACATTATGTTTGGAAAAGGATATGGGATAATAAAAAGTAGTTGATATACTTGATCGATTGTTCCTTCTTTAAATGTTTATCTGTATTTTATGCAGGTGGGTCTGGCCGCAGCATGCGACAGCAGAGGTCGCCGCAGACGTCGCCGGTGTCAGAGAGCGCGCGGAGGGCGGAGCCGCGGCATTCACGCCGCCCACGCTCCTCCCCAGCCGCACCCGCACCCGCCACACCTGGCACAGCTCCCGCATCGCAGAACAATTCACTCACGGTGTGTATACTGCTTCGATATTCTTTAGCAAAATATCTAAATTAATGTTGGCAATTATTCGACTCTTATGCACAATTGTCTAAAAAAATATTTTACCAATTTGTAGGAAGAGCTAATGCGTCTAATGGACGCAGAACTGGGGGAGGGGCAGAACGAGGGTGCGGGGCGTGGTCCACCACTGCCGCTGCCCGACGCCGCCGCACTCGACTGGGCCACGCTCGTACATACTGCTACTAGGGCCATGTTGCAGGTACCCGGTGTTATCATACATTTCAAATGCGGAAACATATATTCAAATATAGTTAAGATCAGACATATCGGATAAAATCTCCCAGTTTTTGTTCATTATATTCTTATATGATATATTTTATAGATCTGCGAAGAACACCAGTATCCAGCAATGGATAATTTAGAATCACTGGACAATCCTGCAAGTGAACCCTCGCAGGATTCTTGGCCGGAACCACCTGTCAGTATTAAAAAGTTTTATATTGAACCCTACAACTTTGTCATTGTTATAACAAATCCTAAAACATATATTTATCGTTCAGCAGATATCAGAGACTTCGATATCAACAGTGATGTCGAACAGCCCGAGCGTATCGAGCAGTGCGAGCGTGGTGGGCGGGGCTAACGCAGTAGGCGGGGCTAGCATAGTAGGCGGCGCTACGGG